CCTAGGAAACAGAATCTTCCTTTTTTATTTTACTGTTCTCCTTCTTCGGATGATTTCCCCACGTATCTTTCTGTGCATGTGCATCTGTATATGTGTGTGCGTAGCCCCTACCATGAGTGTGTAGGGGTCAGGAAATGGGAATAGGTCCTTTCCCCCTCCCCCTCTCAGGTCACCATCTAGCCTACACTCTGTCTCCCGAGTGCTGGGATTAAAGGCATGTGCCATCACTGCCCAACTAAGATTTATTTTAAAAGAAGAAAAAAAAAACTGTGTGTGCAAATGTATGTGTGTGTTTAAGTTTGCATGTGTACTAGTACCTACAGACACCAAAAAGAATGTTGGAGGGGGCTGGAGAGATGGCTTAGTGATTAAGAGCATTGCCTGCTCTTCCAAAGGTCCTGAGTTCAATTCCCAGCAACCACATGGTGGCTCACAACCATCTGTAATGAGGTCTGGTGCCCTCTTCTGGCCTTCAGTCTTACACATGGACAGAATTATGTATACATAATAAATTAAAAAAATATATGTTTGATTTCTTGGGGTTAGAGTTTTAGGTGGTTGTGAACCACCCACTGTAAACACTAGGACCTGAACTCCACGCCAGAACCATAAGTGCTCTAACCAAACTCCCAGGATTTTTCGTGACAGGGTTTCTCTATGTAACTTTGGAGCCTGTCCTGGAACTCATTCTGTAGACCAGGCTGGCCTCGAACTCACAGAGATCTGTGTGTCTCTGCCTCCTGAGTGTTGAGATTAAAGGCGTGCGCCACCACCTGGCGCCAATGCCTGGCGCAATTCTTTTTTAAATATATATTTATTTAATTTTATGTGTGTGAATGTTTTGCCTACATGTATGCCTGTGTACCATAAACAGAATGCTCACAAAGGCCAAAAGAGAGTTTGAGGCTAGTCTTGTCTATAAGAACTCCATCCAGGACAGGTTTGAAAGCAGAGAGAGAGAGAGAGAGAGAGAGAGAGAGAGAGAGAGAGAGAAAACGCATATATTCCCTAGTATTGGAGTTACAAACAGTTGTGAGCTGCATGCATGTGCTGAGAATTGAACCTGGGTCCTCTGTAAGAAGTGCTCTTAACCACTGAGCCATCTCTCCAATTTGGTCTTTTTTGGGGTGGGGGGTGTTAGAAGACAAGGTTTCTCTGTAGCTTTGGAGCCTTTCTGAACTCACCCTATAGACCAGGCTGGACTTGAACACACAGAGATCTGCCTGTTTCTGCCTCCTGAGTGCTGGAATTAAAGGCATGTGCCATCACCGTCTGGCCCAATTTAGTCTTTTTAGAAAAGACAAAAAGTTTGAGAGCCTGAAGCAGAAGGATCGCTCTAAGGCTAAGGCCGGCCTGCAATAATCAGTGATGCTCTCTGCCTCACAGACAGACACAGACACACACACACCATGGGGGAGGGAATTATCACCTTAGCTGTTACCAGTAGGCGAGTAGCTCAAGGCTTGTCTGAGCTGTGGGTAGCTAATGGGCTGGATTTCAGCCAGAGCACCCCCTGGTTATACTTGCCAAAGTTCCAAGCATATCTCCTGGCATAAGAAAGCCAGTGAGGGACCTGAAGAACGCCCAGCCCCTACTTCAGCTCCCCCTGGCTCAAAACCAGATCTGGCTGCCAAATCCTATAGAAACAGACTTGGTTGCCATAGCAAAGCCACACACACTTGCCCTGCTTTTCCCTTGATGTCCCCTTAGCACATCTTTCCCACCCCAAACAGGCAGGGTGTGACAGCCAGGGCCGCTAGAGTGTCTTTGCTTCCCTCAGATTTGAAGATCTTACAGAACATCTAAAGCCCTGGGCAGAAGCTTGTTCTGCTTCCTCCCTTCCCAGCACCCCAGCCTGACTTCTGCCCTCAATTTTCCTGCTATCTAGACCCACAGCCCCAACTCCGCATGGGTCCCAGCATTCTGTCTCTTTCTTACACCCCATATCCATCCAACCTCCACGTCTTCCCTGCCCAGGCTCAGCCTCTTAAGAGTTCAGGGAGTGAGATTCAACCCTGCTCCTGCCAGTGACACTAGCTTCACCTCACCATTTTTCCTTTCCCAAGTCTGAGGTGTCGGAATCAGGCTTTGTCTAGAAGTGCAGAGGGCTTCCCAGAGGAGGGGACTAGTCAGACCCAGAACAAACAGAACTCCTGAGGTATATATCATCCCACTCGAGTGCCTTGCTATCTCAAACAAATCCAACTGGTGGAAACTTATGGCAATTGATCCAGGTACCTGCTTCCCTAGTGGTTTTTCTTCCCACCCACAGAAGTTAGGGTACAGTCAGACAGAATATAGGGGGCAGAGACCTGCCCAGCCTCATCCCACACTATACACCTGCTTCTGGCACTCACAGCAGCTCCGTCCCTCAAACGTGGGTTTCTTCGAGGTTGCTCTGCAGGTACACCCGTATACAATGGGTATCCCGCCCCTGGATGGCCCTATTTCTTGGTTTCTACCCTGTCATCTTCTTCTACCTGGGACTTTCAAGCATCAAGTCCCCCATTATCAGCTCATTCCTAGGGATCTGTTTCCCTTTGGCCATATGACTCTTCCCTGGGACTGGCGTTCAGGGGACACTGAGAGTATCTAGTGAAGGATGGGGGGTTGGTAGTTTCCTCTCCAAGGGTTCCTCCTGAACAAGCCAATCAGAGACCTGATAGAGTGTGAGGTACCCACTGGCTGTTAAGACCAGACTCACAGGAACCCTGGTCCACAGTAAGATACAACCAGCTGCTAAGTTTTAAACCTGGGTTCAGGCTGGCACTTCACACACATGGTACTTGTGACAGGTAGATCATGACCATGGGCCCTAGACTCAGACAGACCTGGGTTCAAATTCTTCTTTGACTATTCAAGACAGGAATGACTGGGGAAGTTGCCTGGCTTTGAAGGAGACTGGATTTTCCACTATAAAACACTGTAACAGACCCAAGTCTGAAAGGAGCTGTCAGACACAACATAACTAAAAGCTACAGATACACCAGGAGCAGCAGCTCTGACAGACTGGAGTGGAGGCTGAGAAAGGCCAAACGGCCAGCCCACAGACAAGCCAGTGTGTGGGCACAGAAAGGCTGCCCCAAGCTTTGTTCCTTTGGCTCCCTCCACTGCTATCAGTAAACTAGGAGACCCAGTGAACTCAGGCTAGCCCCTTGCAGAGCCAGGCCAGCCCATCACAGAGACTAAGCTGCCTATAGTTCAGCCTATCATACATCCTCCTTCAGCTGTACCTTCTTCCTGTTCCCCACACCAGACATTGCTTCATCCAAGATTTATACTCACTGGGTGCTGGAGAATAAGGAGACCCCCAAAGACTGTTTAGTCTGACCCCCAAGGATCTAGAAGCTGGGCCAAGGGTACAGAGCCTCATTTATTTCTATTCCGTCTGCCACAGATCAGAACTAAAGACCTTGATCTTTGGATCCATTTCCAAAGACTGATAAACAGTTACAACAACAAAAAGTCGGGCGGTGGTGGTGCATGCTTTTAATCCCAGCACTCGGGAGGCAGAGGCAGAAGGATCTACAAGAGCTAGTTTCAGGCAGGACAGGCTACAGGAAAAACCCTGTCTTGTAAAACCAAAAACCAAAAAACAAAGTTTCAACAAGGAACTTCTCTGATTTAGACACTACTCTTGGCCACTCCTTCCTGGTCTGTGGTCACCTCAGTCAGGCTGTGTATAGTGGTTCTCACTTCCTGAAGGGACAGTGGTCAATAGATGCAGGAAGCTCAGGGTACAGGTCTGGAATTTCCACAGAGAAACAAGAACGTATGGAGGTGACTGAAGCACTGCTTGCCACACTGACGCCCTGGAAATGAACCTGTATGTGCTCGGGAAGGGGCTGGAGGGGAGATGAGACTGAAGGGACGGACATCTCTAGACTTCAGCCTCATCTGATCATCTTAGCCTGCCTCAAAAAAATCTGGGCTGGGACAACTGGCCAAGTGAGGATTAGAAGGCTTCCTCTCACCTGCGTCTCACCTGAATTATAAAGTTAATCATCATGCATACCAGAAGGTTGTTAGACTTTGCCCGGATCTGCCTCTTACCTCAACTATCCCTTGCTAGAGATCGCTAGCTTGCTCCAAGCTCTTTATCCCTGTGGCTCCCTCTGCCTGTAAGGCTTTTTCGGCAATGTCTCAGGACTGATTGCTCCTCCATCAGGTCTTTGGCTAACTGTAGCGCTCTCAAACGATCTCAACACTTACTTTATCTGCTTCACTTTTGTGGGTTTGTTTTCGTAATATCTATCACAGTTCCTCGTGATTTTTAACTCTTTCGTCAGTCTTCGATCCTTTTAGAAGGAGGGTGAGTTGCCAGAAGGAGACATTTATCCAAGTCTTGGGACATTTTTGTTGTAACAAAACAGGGCTGTGGGTATTACTACCATCCAGGGAACAAATCCAGCAACGCTACAATGCACAGGACTCTAGAGGCAGAATGCCTAGGTCTCGAAACCGCGTACCAGATGAGCTGATCAGTTTCGAATCCTGTTCCCTGCCGACTCTCCGGAGCCTAGGATACTTTCTGGCACACAGTCAGCGCTCAATAAATTCAGGAGAGCAAAAGGAAAGAGACAAGAGTGAAGGAAAGGATTGACAGACTGGTCTGCGGAGAGTCAAGCCGACTTACGAACGCTGAGATCCCAGCTGCCTCAGTCCCGCCCCCCAGGGTAGGCCCACGACCACTCGTGACGCTCCCATGCCAGCCCGCGCCCCGCCGCACAGCACGGAAGAACGAGCCCCAGGTCCAGTGCGCCGCGCGCACACTCACCCGCCCGCGGCTGCCTGGGAGCAGCGGCTACACCCTCCGGCATCATCTTGCCCCCTCCACCCGCGGCCCGGAAAGGTACGAGATACAGGAGCCGGAAAAGCCCGGGCGCCGCGCACGTCGGAACTTGTAGTTCACGGACTCCCGGAACTCCGGCGGCTGCATCACACTTTGAGTTTCCTAAACTACGACTTCCGGCGACCTCGGCACTACAGGACCGGATTGGTGACTTCTGAATCACTCTATGTTGCAGACCGAAATTTAATTGGCTAAATCCACTCGTCGCTCACGTACTCAGTGGCTCTACAGAGGGGCTGATCTTCGAGCGACCCAAGATACCGCCTCCGAAAGAAAGTCTACGATATGATTGGTGGAAACTTCATGACAGCTTGGAGAGCATATCAGCAGCGAAGGAAGGTGGGCTCTTGCTCAGACGGCCCAATTACATAAGGGGCAGTTCTATAAACGCTTGAGCCTCAGCTGCGGTCGTTCTTTTGGGAGTGAGTTAGTACCGTGCGTTGGCCTTTGTCCTGGCTCTGTGAAGCACGTTTTACCGGCCTTGGTCGCCAAGACGAACTGGAAGGGCCTCTCAACTGCAGGCCAACCTTCTTTGAGGCGGTGGTCTGGGTCCTGCTTTTCCCCTAAATCTTCTGGCTCCTTTTTTGCAGGTAAGACCGAGTCGGGCCTGGCTTTCCTTTGCAGCACCAAGCCTATGATGAATTTCTGACACCTCGTATGAAAACTGTATGTGCAGTCTGATTACATTACAAGGCTGAGGCTTGGGGACTCTGCCTTTAGTTGGAAAGGCTGGAAATGAAAAGTTACCAAACGTAAAGATTTCTGTTTTTGTGACTTTCAGGGCATGGTGAGTCGGCGGCTTCCAGAATCAACGGGCAGAAGGGTTTGCTGGTAAGCTGCGTATCTGTATTCTAATTGCTTAAGCAATAAAGAGAAAATGCAATCGCAGTCTTCGTTTCAAATGTCTTTATTTCATGTACTGTAGAGGCCCTCGTTTCTCGTGCAAAGGGCGAACCGTGAAAGTGAGGCCTCCGGGTTTTAGAACTCTGCTCTAGGATGAGCTCTTGGCCTGTCTTGTTTCAGTAATGGGTTGTGGGCCACTGGTAATCCAGGATCCATGGGGAACTGTATTTTGAGGGTGTTTGCACATCTGGAAGTCAGAATAACCCACAGGAGTCAGTGCTTCCACCAAGTGAATTCTGGGACTATTAGGTCAGGGTTCTTGTAGATGCCTTTACCCCCACTAAGCCATTGTGCTGGCCCTGGAAGATGACTTTCTACAGATGACACAAACTCCAGGAAAAAAAAACCTTTATTGACTTTATGAGGACAGTTTCACTCACGTTTATGACTTGGTGACACGTGGAAGGGACCCCGGGCCAGCCTGCCGAGTGGTAATTTAGTTGTGTCCCGGCATAGCTGTGATTTTCCTTCCTGCTAGTATCCTCTAAGCGCCTCATCGGGAGTGAACTAAAAGCAGGCTGCTGTGGCCTTGGGGCTAACGACTGGACAACAGTGACGAAGCCCTCTTTCCTGGCTGGGGTCCTGCATGGGCTGTGTGCAATAAGCAATGGCTTAGAAGCTAGGCACTATAGGTAATGCCCTCCTCTGCTGCAAGTGCCCAAGAGAGGGCGACAGAGTGCCATGGTATGGTTTGTAGCCACTGGGGCAAAGGGGGCTAGCATTAGCCTCAGGAATCTTGAAAATGGGAACACTCGGGGCAGTCACTGGGTCAAGTCCTATAGGCTCCCGCACAGCTTCCAAGGCAGGGTTGCTTCCAGGTTCAAGGCCGACAGCAGGATACCCCTCGACCCTCCCTCTTGATGTAGTCGTGTAGCCTGAAGCGTGGTTCGTTGGGAGCCTTTGTGGATCGCTGTTTTAACTCCCTGAGGAGCAGGGGTGACAACAGGACATTGTAGCAGCCTCTTCCAGGTGTACAGCGTGGAGCATAAGGGCGGTGCTTGTTCACAATCAGGACTTACTTTGCTATGGCTGTGAAAGCCAAGTCCACGTTGAGGCCGGTCTTGGCGCTGGTTTCCATGAAAGGTAGCCCGTACTCCTGCAGAGAGCCGCTGGCAGCTGGGTGCTGACCACATGCAGGCAACCCAAGTGGTATGGCCTTAAGGACACCTCATCACCCGCCCCGTTTTGACTCACCTTGGCCAGTTTCTCCCCATCTTCCCTCTTTACCACACGTTCTTGGGTAGAGTCGACCTGACCCAGGCACAGAAATTTTGTTACTGCCCATGCATGGCTTGCCCTGTTGGGCCAGGCTGGAGGTAGCAGGTTCAGAGTCCCACCTTGTTCCCCAGCAGCATGAGCACCACGTCCCGCTGGGCGTATTCCTGGATCTCCGTCAGCCAGGCCTGTAGAGGGAAAGCTGAGGCCAGTCTCAAGGCTGATCGTGCCCTCTTGTACCACACTTCTTCAGGTGTCTTTTCCTAGAAGCCCTGGCATGTGTGGAACAGAGGTACCCACCTCACTGGTCCCTTAGCCAGGTGATCCTGCTAATGGAGCCAGATGTTACCCATGCACACTGGCCAGCACGAGCTCAGAGGGGTCCATCAGTTCCTACCCTTCCTATCAGCAGGGTTCTTAGAGACCTTGATGCTCTCTAGACAACCCAGGCCCCCCCCCACCAGGAAGCCACTGACCTGGATGTTGTCGAAGGAGTCTTTGTTGGTGATGTCATAGAGCAGCAACAGGGCTGGATACAGAAAGTAATGAGGATATCCCTGGGGCCCAGTGGCTCCTTAAACCACCTGCATACTTAAGTCATTGGAAGTCATGGGATGCTCACCCCCTGCCCCCATGCCAGACTCCCTGTGGAGGAGAACTGGCCCCATGTCTTACCGTGAGCATCCCGGTAGTAGGCATGGGTGACACTTCGGAACCGCTCCTGACCAGCTGTGTCCCAGATCTGTGGCAACAGGCACTGGTCATACTGCCCAACCTCTCCCCGGTGCCTCCAGCCCCAAACTTGTACTCCTGCAAGCTCACCTGCAGCTTCACCTTCATGCCATCCACATCCAGAACTTTATTCTGAAACAGAAGCAGCCAGCAACAGTAAGGATGCCTGCCCTCCTCTGGCCTGAGGGCCCCTAAGGTTGAAGTAAGAGAGGGAGTCATGCAAGCCATGGCTGAGCCCCCACTGATGGGAGGCTGGGGGACCCACCCCCATCCCATTTCTGCAGCACTTCCTGGGTTTCCTGCTCTGAGAACTTAAACCAGCCCTCAGGTCACATTCATGTTTAAAATCAGATGTTCCTAGCAGCTGCCTGGTACTCCCTGCCTCCAGCATCAACCCCAGGGGGATCCTCTTCAGGTGACCCTTCCTGCCCTGATACTAGGTTATCATGGCCAGCTATGTACACTTTGGGCCCTTGTTTACCCCATCCGCACTCCCGCCAACGGGTCCTACACAGGTTCCCACTTGCCAAGAGTGTAGTAGTAATATTAGTATGCTGTTCCTGCTTAAAGTCATCGATGGTACAGAGGGTACACTGTGCCCCAGTTTCCCCACCTGTAGATGGGGATAGGAAGGACACCTTTAACTTAATGAGCTACTGTGTACACTGAGAACTACACCCCACCTGGGAAAGCTAATTTCATTTTTCCCCCCTCTCAATCACTGGGACACATTTCTAAGAGGCAGGACTTAATTTAAACCTACCTGACTCTGTATTGTGTCCACTGAGCCCAGAACTATGGCTGGTACATAGGCAATATTCATAAATTTTCTATCTGCAGGTCTAGACCAGTCCCTTCAAGATGAGCCACAAGGCTGGAGTGCCCACCCACTCATCACCCCAGAGAGGGGTTGACTATAGGCTGGGGCCAAGGGAGGTGAGGCCTGGCTCCCCCTTTCTCCAGAATTCCTGCTGTCAGGGCTTCTAGGTCTCCAGGGAACCAGGCTCAGCCATCTGCCTGGCGAGGGACGATACTCTGCCTTTCCTGCACCCTGAACAGGGGTGCAAACCGCACAGCCCCACCTCCCTCACCTTCCACCCAGGAGCCAAGATGAGGTGGGTAGGGAAACCAGGGTGGGCAAGAAACACCTGCTCAAGCTTGTCCTGCCCCCTGGAACTTCCACCTTGACTTCTTCCTGAACTCTAGGACCTAGAGGGCTTGAGGAAACCTGCAATCCTCAGTAAGAAACAGTTCCCACTAGGAGGACCCCCCTTTCTGTCCCCAGAATGGGCCTTCCTGCCAACCTCCTGCTAACTGGGTCTAATTAAAGGGTGAGAAAAATGCAAATTCAAGATTTGCCAAGAACACACCAGCACCTCAGCACATGAGATTCAGAATGGGCAAGGGGGTTGGGAGGCTCTTGATGTCTGGAGCTCCCAGGACCCTGCCTGGGATCCTAAGGAGGTCTCTTCCAAGCTGCACTGCATTGTAGGAACTAGAGAGTTCCCAGTACCTCCCATGGCCTTGGGTGCCCTCTTTGGTGGGAAAGCAATATTGTCCTCCTGAGTGAAGGAGCAGCCTTGAGATCCTCTCACTGTCACTGCCCTAGGGCTCAGGTATAGCTCAGCAGAGCATCAGGCGTGGGCACAGGTATAGCTCAACATAACATCAGCCCCTGCTAAGAGTAGCATTCTGCTGCAGCTGGATGCAGTTAGGAGGCTTCCCCGGGACCCTCAGGTGTTGGGAAGCAGCTGGTTTGGTAGCTAAGCTCTCATCCCCTGGGACTATGGACACATCAGTAGATGGAGAGTCAGCTGGGAGGACTATGTATAAGAACCACAGAGTACATCTGGACATAGAGCTCAGGACATTAGCCTCCATTCTTACCCGGAAGTCGATGCCCACAGTGGAGATGAAGGTACCAGCCAGGAAAGCCCCATCCTTGAAGCGCACAAGCAGGCAGGTCTTCCCCACACCGGAATCCCCCACCAGCATGACCTGGAGCAGACAGGAGGGTCAGAGGAGTCAGGCTAGGAGATGAGGGCCTTGCCCACCTAAAAAGATCCTTCCGGTCAGTCTTGAGCTGTGGGGGAGGGGCAGGAGAAGAGATGAGTGTTCCAGGCCTGTAGGTTCAGCATAGCTTGGGGAAATATAGCAGCCATGGTCCCAAAAGCTTGGATGCCCAGTATCTCTGCCCCTGGTAGTCCCATGTCACCTCTCCCTCCAACAATGCCACCTCAATCAATGGGGAGTGAGAGCCACTGTCCCCATCCAAGATCTTACCTACCCCTCCTCCATAGACATCATGCTTGATCTGGGAGGGCAGCATTTGGGGCCTATGGGGAGCACAGCATGAGAATGCAGCTGGAACCTCCTAAGAGACCTGTGGGGACTCAGTGCCAGGGGCTTCTTCAATTCCAGCAGAGACACAAATCTCAGCAGCAAGGCTCAGTAGAGGCTAAACAGTCAGCTTTTGAAGTGAAGAGGGGCTAGGGACAATCTGGAGGCCTGAGGGGCAGACTGGCGAAGTCTCTCCCTCCCCCCACCACCCCTGCTGCCAAAACCTCCAAAACCCTCTGCCTTCAGAGGTCAAAGTCACACAAGCTTCAGTTTTGGACTGGGGGTGGCCCTCTTCCTCCTCCCTCCCAGAAAAAGACTAACAGTCCTTGGGGGCGAGGGAAGGCAGCATATGGATGGGAACTGATGAGAGTGGAGCACCGGTAGGGCCCAAAGGTCGGGGAGGGACAGCTTCAGGATTCTGATCTTTCAGAACTCCTTGCTTGGTCTCACAGTAGGTGGAGTAGGGGCAGGTCCTGCCAGCTGTTGAATACCCCAGACCCGAGCCTAATAGTTGTGTGTGTGTGTGTGTGTGTGTGTGTGTGTGTGTGTGTGTACACGCGCGCATGTGAATGCGCGCGACAATGTAAGCTGATGCCTAGCTAGCTGTGAGGTGTTGCTCTGGCCAGTTCAGCGGCCAGGGTCCGCACTGCCCTGCCACTCTTCCCCAGAGGCCTTCCCAGTAGTCTAGTATCTATCCA